AGATTAATATGCATTTTGTGGCCGGAACGGATATTTTCGAAATTTTACCGCCGAAGCGGATATTTTGTCGCGGAGATGGATATTTTCCAATTTTTTTGCTTCCAGGAGCTCAAATGCTTCCAAATTAATAAAAAAAATCCCATGAAAGTTTTAGCTCTTAAAATTATCTTTAAGATAGTCTGCACTTTAACTAAAGTTTCTTATGGAAATAACATAGGAAAAAATCCATTTGTTTTTTAGAATTTCCATATTAAGGAAGTCCCTAATGCTCTAATGTATTCTAATGTATTCTAATGTATTAAAATAAGTATGTCAAGCAAATGCTTAGAAAATTTAATTTCGCTTTCTTTTAACAAGCTCACAAATTAGTCATCTTGCTGCTAATTGTGAATTATGATAATAATAAATTGAGATAAGCGAAATTTGGTATAATTTTTGACCACGGTTTAAATTAACCTTTAAATCATGTTTTAAATCGTATTATTTATCAAAAATACGAATATAAACGTATTAAAAAAAAAATTCAACAGAACTTGATAAAACCATTGTCTGGTGTGTAGTATGCAAATTTTGTTGTTGTTCACGAAAGATATAAGAAATAAGAAACATTGTTTAAGTGCGTCTGCACTTCTACAATGACAGCTAAATATAAAATCATAAAAATGTGTTTTAATGCATTGCACAAGCGGATGGGGATAGAGATGATGTATGATGGACCAATGTTTACGATCAAAATGCATTTCTTTTGTTCGGATAATAATTAAAATGGAACATTATTATAGTTATTTATGATTACAAATACATTTCACCTAAAATTTACATGCAACAATAATATGAATTTAAAACAACACCAACATATTTCGTTAGGTTATAGTAACGCCGATAATATAGAGAGAAAAAAAAACGAAATGGGGTAGATGATTGGTACAGTTCTTATTTAAGAACACAAGAATATATAACTTAATAATGTACTAGTTCGCATAAATTGTATTAAACTAGTGATGTATGGCATCTTTTTTTTAAAAAAAGATTTTTTTTTTAATTTTTGAAAAAATTTGATTTTTGAGAAATTTAAAATTTTTGAAAAAATTGACTTTTTTGGAAAAAAATTTTTTAGGAATTTTTTTTTTATTTTGAAATATTGCTAAAATTAATCAGCACGTCTCCTTAAAAATACGAATCGAATATTTTTTAAATTATTCAGATCGGTTGAACCGTGTTCCCGAAATCGTCGACGAAAATTTGTATCCGCACACACATACATCCATTTTTTCTAAGGAATGCTAAAATGTTCAGAAGGTTTTGAAACGTAAAGATATATAAAATTTTTCATTTTCGATTTTTTGCGATTGCTATAACCTACGGGAAGTTAATTATTAAATAAAATTTATAAATTCAGTTACAAATACATATACGAAAGTATAACTCGACGTTTATTATAATTATTATAGGAATTATTATAGTTTATAAATAATCTACTATGTTTCTAATTAATTAATAGTGAATGTATATTATAATTTTTAGTGAGTGTACCAGTGATTCTCAATCTCAACGTTGTCCATGATAACATTCAGCAAATCCAGGTCAGCAAAGAAAAATTGGGATTCCCAAAATGAAAATGGGGTGTTTTTGAGACTGTCATAGTAATTTAGAAGTAATTGTAAAATAATATCGTTTTTGGCAAGGGCAGGTCTAGCCGTTCCAAAGATACGGGGCAAAAAGTGACAAACACGTTAACACCGTTTTTAAGAGAACGGAGTGTCCGATTTTAATAATTCAAAAAACATTTTACTTGTATTGACAAGATGAAGAACTGATAAAATTTTTGGGAAGGCAGGCCCAGCGGTTATGGACTCTCAATAAAAATAAATTTAATAAATGTCATTTGGCGGTCAAAAATCTTTATTGGACATATGTACATCAATTATCAGATATTTTATAGAAATTTTAATAATGTGTACACATTTTGTGTAAATTATTTTGGGTTCCGTACTAAGATGTTTAATTACGGTACGGGAAGTTCCAGCAATTTGCCTTAATGGCACGATGCCATGCGCCGCACTAGTTCTATTATTATTTTAAATTCAGTTAATAAATGTATTCCAGTAACATGTATTTTTACTTTAAATATTTAATGATACACTTTAGTCCAGCTGGGAGAGTATAAAAAAATGATATGGGGTCTATGGCAAACCTCAAGATGTCCACGATACAAAACAGTTTGAGAACCTATATACTTATAAATTTGAATCTTTTAAAATTATTAAGGAAGGATACATTTCTTATTAGAGAAACTTAATTAAAAATTTAATTAAATTACAAATTATATGTGAAAAATAATTTAGGCATATAAAAATAATATATTATTATTTTTAATAACTGCAAAGAGAAATTTATTCCTGATTTTCTTTTACCAAATGATATGAGTTAATTTACGAAGCATTTAAAAAACGTCAGGCACAAAAATTTTAATTATTGCTCGAAAATATTATAATAAATTAATTATTTGTTTACATCGCTACATAATTGTACTTCAAATTATTTTATAGGCATTTTCATGACTTTTCAAATTACTTTATTTTCGTACAATCTTGAATTAATTTATGATTTCGCACTATTTCTAAAATTTTAGAAATAAGTGCAAATAATAAATTATAATAATAATAAATAATAAAAAGTAAATAACAAATTTTAGAATTAATTTGTTCAGTAGCCTGAAACAATTTCGTTTTAAATCATTATAATAAATAGAACTTTATATGAATTTTGTACTTGAGATAAAAGTAGAAAAAGATAGAAAATGTATTAAGAAAAGTGGTAATGAAGTTAGGTCCATATTTAATTAACAACAAGACGTATAAACTTAACAAAAAAAAATATACCTCACCACTTTTTGGGTTAGTGATGAGGTATAATTTGAAATAAGTAATAAAAAATAATTGATAAAATGTACTGAAATAAAATAAAACATCATTTTATATATTTTCATATCATTTCAAAGAACGAATTCAAATGTACGTGTAATTTTATAGTATCCTCAAGGTCCATCAAGTTGTTTACGGAGTTTCTAGTGCGTGACAGATTTTGACATCTATGAACATTTTACAAACAGATGGTACCTGTTGCTCATACAATTAACTTAAAATTTGGCTATTTAATTGCGACTATTATTGTTAAGAAGTATGTATGTAAAATATGTCCTGCAATTGAGTTAAAAAAGGATGAATTTTTGGGGAATATTTAATATCAACAAGCCCTTGTTAAATTATGTTTCCCTTACCAAAACTTTAGTGAATCTCCTATCCAATTCAGCAGTATCTGGCATCGGCTGAGCCGATCTACTCCGTATACTAGCCTGACGGACATGATGCTGCGGCTTAGGAGCTATTGCAACTATTTCAGAGACCGGCGGTGACTCTTGCTCATGTTTTGAGCTTGTCAAACCCATAGTCCTAACATAAGACACTTCGACTTTACTAAGGCACTTAATAATTAAGGCACAGGTTTCATCACTATAACTACTATCACGACATTGCACAATGGTAAACGATCGTTAATTTACATAGATGATCAACAGGTTCGTACAACATTGCATCGAATTCTTCGTATACACAACACAATGTTAAAATGAAAACTGACAGAAGCTAACGAACAAAACAGAAGAAGCGAGAAATGGCGGAGTCGGACGACTGGAAACGAAGTTTAGTCGTGCTTAGTTAACAGAAATGGCTGTCAAAGTTTTTGTGCGTATCGCATCGGGATCGAAGGTTCTCAAACATTTACGCGAAACAAAGATTTGCACGTTGTTTCTGAGATATAAAAAGTTTGTATTAACGCTTTATTATTATTATTTAGCAACAGTTAATTCTTTCAGCTTTTATATTCTATATTATTTTGTGAAAAATTTTATTTTTTATACAAAAACCCATCTAATTTCGTCGTTCTCATGAAGTGAAAATTTCAATTAATGTTGTTTTTAAAATAAACTTATGAGGAATCAACGTTTATATTTATTTATTTATTATTATTTAAATTATTTTATAATTTAATATAATAAATTATAAAATATAATAAATAAATAAATATAAATGGTGATCTCTATCATATAGATAAATAAGCATAATCTCTGAATTCTATTCTGAAAATGATGATTCCTATCTTGAAAAAATGTATTTTTTCATTTGAGTAAGTATTAAATTCAAATTTTCATTAACGACTAAAAAAGACTATAAAATCATTTAAAAAATTAAAACCACTTTTAATTTCTAATAACAAAAATCAAATAAAATGACATACCTTATATAAAATATTATTATATGTTATTAGCCTATAGTTATAACTATATAGCATATTTTTTCCTAGCAGAGAATTTTGGTGACTAGTAAATATAAAAACAATTATTTTTTTTAAATGTAACTTATTAAATATGTCACCGATATAAAAGAAAATATTCAAATAACTAAATGATTAAGGTCTTAAGGTCCTTCCGAATCCATTAAAAAAAAAAATTACCAGCATCAATTATCGGACCCCTTGTAAGATTTTTTTTATTATTATTATTATTTTAATAATTTTTACAACTGTCCTGAAACGGACAGCAAATAAAATATAGGAAAATGATGGCCAAATCTAGATTTTCAAATCTCCTTTTTCCCAATTAAGAAAACGTTAAGTAATATAAGTTGAATTAAAATTGAACTAATATATGTGTAAATAAAATACATTGCCAATCAAATTATGAAAAAAAAACATATTTGTTTATCTATGAGAAAAACTACCCAAGTTTCAAATAACTAACGCTACCCCTGTTGGGAAACACTGCACTACATAGTAGACAAATATTCAAAAACTATTTAAAATATATATATTTAAAGTAATCGTAAAATAATGACAAACTTTACTATCATATATATATATATATATATATTTAAACAAAATTACAATTTGTAAATGACTGTTTTTTATATATCAAATCATTTATTGTGGTATAATAATTGTTACTTTTGTTATGTTACATATAAAAATATTTTTAACATAAAGATCATAAGCATTTATAATAAACCAAATCTCTACAATCTTCCACTTGAAAATCTCATAATATGCAATCTTCCTGGGTGTATGAGGAAGCGTTTTGCTACTCAAGGAATCTGTATTTCTTCATCTTCAATAATCTTCAAAATGTATAGAACTTCTGCATCAGATTAATAGTTCAAAACCTGATCAAAGATAGAATTAATAAGTTCAAATGTCTTTTGCTCTCACTTTGCACACTGGTTCATACTTGTTTGAACTAGAAGTTAATAGAATACAGAAATAATTTTATTTCAGTCTAATTTGATAAATTTGACGATTACACATTGGACATTTTAAGCATGACAACTCGATTGTTGCATTGAAAATTAGTCAAGAATTCTTTACTTTATCCACTTTATTACACTTACATTACTATTAATGATTTACCACATCTAACTGATCATTTGTATAATTTCAATATAACAAACATTTTCTGCCGTGTGATAAATATAAAAGTTGATTCTTAATTCTGTGCAAGTACTTTAATGATGGGCTAAAACTTTCTGCCAAAGATATTGAATATGGAAAATAAGTCATATTTAATTGAATATAAAATTTATTTAATAAAGTACTTTGAGAAGATTAATTTTTATGTTCGCCACCATTACTACAAACATTAACTCGATAATAAACATAAACCAGATATAAATTTCTATATGGTCATATTAACTTAATAATGATCAAATATATATATATATATATATATATATATATATTGAATAAATTGTTTTACAGAGATCTTAAGTAAATATTACATTTCAATATATAACATTAAAAAAAAAAAAAAAAAAAAAAAAAAAAAAAAAAACTAAAGAACTAAGTCTAGATTTCGTTGAATGCAACTTTATTAATGATTGATTAGATAGTGAAATAGAATAAAAAAGTATTATCACAGTAAAAAAAAATATTCAACTTATGAAATTTTTTGAAACAGAATGCATGATGCATAATTTTTAAACGCATGTATATATCCGTTAAAAAATAACTTGTTTATTGATTATTTTAACACAGCTGCAATATTTTTTCTTGCCATACTTTTTAAATACTACAACATTTTAAGCTGTAATCAGTACAAAAATGTCAACAAAAGAATTGAAAATATAAAAAAACTAAGTTTCATTCCCAAGTAATGATTTGTAAATATTTTCTTTTAGGGAAAATGATTTTTTTAAAAATGCAATATAAAACAATTACAAAAAGTTTCATTAAAATAAAGTATAAATAATAGTTTTATGTATGTATAACCTTAATTAAAATTATCAAACCAAATTTTTATAGTTATTCATATTTTAATATAAAATATATATATTTAATATTCCATTACATAATACATAAATTCATTTAATATTTTAATTTCAAATAAAATTAATATATTTTTTTTATTATAAGAAGTTACGATATTCTTCCCACACTGTCTGTGGAACCGTCAATGAAATCTGTCACACTTTCATTTTTAGTGTCAATGTACTGCGCATTAATAGAATTATTAAATGACACGTTACAACCATTCGAGTTTTTAAGTAGTCTCTCCCAAGGATCTTCAAGCATAGAAGGGTGAAAGTATTGATTTATATCATCCTCACATATTTTATTTCCGGACTAAAATAAATTTAAATTGTTATTTATTGAACAGAAATTGAATCATGATGTGTTCGAAATGCACTGATCCACTGTAACTAATTAATATCATTTATCATAAAGTCAAATTTAATGAAAATACTTTATGTACTATCAAGCAATATTATAAAACTAAGTGCTAATTTTACAAATGTTAAAATTATTTCAAGAATAATTAGTACTTCAAAGATTAATTTGTTTATTTGCATTCTAAACTTTTTTTAGAATGAAGAAGGTATTGATTTACTGAAACTAATATATTTATAATTAAAACTATAATATACTGACTCTATTGTGATTGCCATTGCTGTTCCGATTTCGATAGTTTTTATTATTATGTTTATTACTATTACCGCCATACTGATAATTCATTTTCTGTTTATTTCTGTTGCGATTACCATGCATAGGACTACTATAGTGTGTTGGATAAAAATTTGGCCCGTTATCATTTTTTGGAGATGTATTGAAAGCTATAAAGTCTGAAATAATTTATGTAACTATAAACTGCAAAAAACAACAAACAAACCTGATAGTAAAATATTACTATTACCGTTATTTGGGGAACTATCCATATTGAATTATATTTCTATATAGGTAATATACAAGAAATATTTTAAGCAAGACTTATTTATTAGGTGGAAAATACTTTCAGCATATAATTAGCAAGACGGTGCTTCGTCTATTTGTCTATATTGCAATATATTATATTTTGTCCATGATTCTTAAATCTGAGAATCAAAATTAATAAAAGTAAAAAAGAAAAGTATTAATATAAAATTTAGTTCATGATATTGCATTATTTATAAAATCTTATCATACCCTCACATCACGATGATGTTCGAAGACATGGTACAAGTTGGATGAAAAATAAACGATTTCAATTAGTTGAACTAAAACAATTCGAAGCTAAATTATTGAATTGTCTAACAGCAATGACACTACATCAAACTACGGCAATGGCTGCTTGACTTGGGAAATGTAGAAGAACACCTTTCAATGAAGACAAAACAACTATAGTGAAGTTATTTGCACTCTTAATAGTCCGAGAGGCCAAGGTTATAGTTTGCCGAACAGCCGAAGAGAGACCACACTTATATATTTATATGAAATTATTTATTTCATATATATTTGTATTATCCACAATTTTTTTTAAGAAAAAATCAACTATAATTTTGTGACAATGATTTTGTTTTTTATCAATTTCATGTTTCAAAGTTTTTCTCCTGCTGAGTGATATTACTATTCAGAGATTTTGATGCATGCAACTTTATTAATGATTGATTAGATAGTAAAATAACTATCAATGAATTTCAAACCCCTGGAATTTATTGAATTCAATTTTTTTGAATAATTCCAAATATCCCAGACATTTTAAAACTATGCTTGCGGACCACATTAATAGTTTAATAATATAGACTGTTTTATCTCGACTGTACTACAATTAGAACAGAATTATAGAAGGATCTTTTTTGACTATTCATAACAATAGGACTATAAATAAGCAAAATGAGCTCAACTCTTTTATTTAGATATTATTTCCAAATTTCTCACAAAATAATAAAAATGTCGCGCAAACGTTTTGCAATTAGTTTCACACTTAGGTGTAGAATCTTGGCAAAAATAATTTAAAAAAGTCTTATCTCCATTATGTATTTAAGGTTAACACATATATTGCACACTATCTATTTGTGATTTTTTAAAGTTAGTATTTTATGAAATATTACAAGTTTAATATTTATATTACAAAGTGTATTGCATCACCATATCCTGAAACCATGGATTATTGAATTTTCTATTTTAACACTAAGATTAACTAATTGTAAGTATTTTTTACCCTTTGTAATTATTTTTTCCCAATTCAATTGTTTTAGTTTCCACTTAATGATGGCTAGGATTATAGCCAAAACATATGGATGTAAAATGAATTTTTGAAAGAAATTCATGATTTTTATTGATGTTATATTCGATTACTAGACTTTGTTAATAAATAAATAAACACGCATAGAGTTTTTGCAAAAAAATTATGTGTGTGTGAAACATTAATTGAAATTTTCAAATTTAACTAATTCAAAATTCAATGTAATATGTCGGTATCTCTCGGACTAACGCATGTTAGGCAACAATAAAATCATGAAAACAAATATCTTTCTTTGTTTATCAGTCCTGTCACTTCTGTCGCATACCATACTGTTTATTTTGCGTATTACAATTTTACAATATTAGAATATTATATATTATATTATATTATATATACATATTATAATATATTCATGATTAACTCTACATTCAACTAATTTATTTCAAAAATTATATTTGAGTAATTATAATTACAAGTTAGAATGATTTTAATTTTAGAGTGATACAAATTGTTAAAATATACATATAATAAAATATGACAGAGTCTATAAATATTATAACTAAATCCATAGATTTCACAGATCTTGTAGATATTCTTAAAAAAAAATATTGTGGTATGTAATTAAATACTGTATTTTGTTATATTTAATAATTAGCTCATTTTTTATTGTTCAGAGCAAGTGCACCGAAACGAAAGTTTAACAGAAACAAATGATTTACTGATTAAAGAAAATACTGATCTGAAAAAAGAAATAGAGTGAGTAAATTTTATATTACATTTAAAGCTAAAGGCTCTTGATAATGGCCAATAATTGTTTTTAAAATGCAGGCATCTAAAAAATGAATTGAAATTTGCTTATATCACTGTCATTGCCAAGTAGTGAATTTAAAAGTTCAACCCAAAAAAGTAATGCAGGTTTGTGTGATATATTATTTGTATTTCTACAAAGTTATATATAATTTATTGCTGTCTTTAACCACTATCAGAAAGCGATGAAGACGATTTTAAACATGTCATTGCGGAAACGTTTTGTGCAGAAATGTTAGACGAAACACATTATTCTGTTAATCAAAGTGAAAATTTTGAAAATTGCCAAACTAGCCCTATAATTTGTACAAAATTTCAAAAACCAAACAAACAAGATAATTTAAAACACACAGAGGAAAAATGTACCTTAAATAACAAAAAATTAGAAAATTGTGTCCCATCTTGGGATAATTTAGAATATGTACCAGAGACTCCAGATGTTATTCAAAATTCTAAGAGCATTTTTACATTTGGAAAGTCATTGAAATCAAATAAAAGACCTCCATTAGTATCAACGGAAAACTCTCCAAAGTCAAAATTAAAGAAGGGAGAAACATACAATAGTCCAGTTTTATTTGAAAGCAGTGATGATAGTTTTTTTATAAATGAATGTAATAAATCATCAGATAGTATAAAAAACAAAGGTAAACCTAGAACTAGCACATTTATAAAACCTGTTACTAAAGGTACTAAATTGAAACAAATAAGTGTGATAAAATGTTTTAAACGATCTACACCATCATCTCCAGAAAATGTTTTTAATTTTGAAGATACAGATATTATGAATGAGAATATTCCCAGCGATCCAAACTTGGTAAAAGTTCAATAAAACTGATTTTCTCTAAAATATGTTATAAATTCATTCATCATTTTTCAGGATGAATCTGCAATTTCATCTGGGAATGGATCATTATTTAATGTCTTTAAAACAGATTCAATATCTCCAAAATCAAGTAAATTTTTATTGATATATATATATATATATATATATATATATATATATATATACATATCAAAGAACTTGAGCTATATTTTTATTATCCTCAGGATTATCTCCTGCTAGGAAAAGACTAAATTTTAATATGTGTGAAGCAGACTCCTCCACTAAAAAAAGTACTCCTAAGGATTGTGACAAAATTAATTCAAATAAGTCAGTTAATGAACAGAAAAATCTGAACGCGTAAGTAATATATCACCTTTAACTAAATAATCACAATGCACATAACATTATAAATACTATGTTCAATATATTAACTAATATTTAATAATATTATTCACCATTTGATAACATTTTAGATTTATACCATATGAGTATGATAATAGATTTATAAACTTGTTTTATTTATTTGACATTAATAACCAGATTCTTTCGTAACTTTTACAGTGATAATAGTTTTCTATATATTCGTGACCCGGTTAGGAAAAAATCTGATCGAAAAAAACTTCAAGGCTGGTCTTGTGAAGATTGTCAAAAGGTATAGTTTATTATATACATGGCATATTACAGTTATTCAAAAATTTTACCTTAATTATTAAAATATGTTTCAGTATTACGAAGGTGCAAATTTAACAGAAAGTCAAATGCAAGCTAAAATAAATGAATGTTCTAAACATCGAGATAATCACAATCCATTTGCTTCAAATACACCTCCTGGTAAAAACTAATAAAATAACCTGTTAAAGGAATTATCTTACATATGATCTTCATATTAATTTATGCGTTTGCAGGTTATTGGAATCCAGAATTTCCTCCAACACAAGAAATAGATAGAACACAAACGGGTCACAAGATTTCGAGCAAATAAAGTGTTAGTTTAGTTTTATATGAATTCTGTACCTAATTTATAATTATTATCAAGGTTTCTACATTGGAGAAAAAACTGTGACATCCAGTTTGTCTTTTAACAGGTTACAAATTTCAGGAACAATTTTTTTATGTTATTTTAAAACTTTGTTTAAAATAAAATTAATTTCATACTGTATTTTACTATAAGAATGTGATATTAATGTACATGATTCCTTTTTTTAAATTATATTTTTAATAATGAAATATGAACAGTAAAAATCTGTTTTTTGTTTTTATTATTTAACTTATCGATTATAATAATATTACATTAGCATATGTATTCTATTAAGAAAAGAAAATATAATTTGTGCCACAAATGACCAGGTTAAAAGTCATTGCACAAATATATTTACATTGCACATATTTAACATGTTTTTTTTATGAAATCCTAATTCATAGTAATTCAAATTATAGATTACCTCTCTGTTCTTGATCCAATTCTATTGCAGTGAATAATGCCTTGAAATTACCGGCGCCAAAACCCTGAGAAACGTAATATATGCATTAAAAGTTATAATTTAGACAAAATCGACTTAACAATCAAGCAGATAAATAATAAAACTAAAAAGAAAAGTACCCTCTGCTTCTACATTTATAAGACACAAATGTTTAAAAATCTACAAATAAAAAAGGAAATTCTCAAATGATTCATTGCGCTTGTGCTTTTCAACCTAAATTGGAAATAATAAATCTATATGAAAATCTTTCAAGTGATGAAATGTTCATTTTAACTTTTTAGTAATTTTTAATTTATATTCTTATATCTCTTATCTTACACACTCTAATTACATACAAAACTGAAATTAATAAAAATATTGAATCTTAAATGACTACTTACATTATGATTGTGTCTTTGTATAACTTCCAAAAACAATGTTGGCCTATCTTGCATGTTTTTGGTAAATATTTGAAGCAAATAACCATTGTCGTCATAATCTACCAAAATATTAAGTTCCTGTAGAACAGCAAGATCTTCTTGAATACGGACGGGACTTTTCTTCAAATGCTCCCTTAACATATCATAATAGGTGTGTGGAACTTTAAGAAAATCTGTTCCTCTGGCTTTTAAATTTCTAATCTGAAGAAAATATGTAGGATTAGTATTAAAATCTAGAACCAAAATTAATATTAACAGAAAAATATTTTACCCTGTTCCTTGAAAATAATGAAACAAATTAAACATTTCTGCCGCGTACTAAAAGTAAGTTTATTGATTTGAAATTATTTCTATATTATTAGCAGTTTCTATAAATCTTTGAAGTTATTAAAATGGAAAATATTTTTTAGGCAAGCCAGATATTATATATAGCTGTTCAAAGAATGGGATTATATAGCCAGCGAAAAAGCAAAAAAAATACAAGCAGTGAATGAATGTATGTTAATTTTAATTAAATGAAGTTCTTCAAACACAATTACATGATGAGTAAAGTTGCGAACACAATATTTAGGCGTTGTTTAACATAATCCACTGC